CTGAAGCATGCTCCTTGCATTCATTCATATTTTGAACTTGCAGTGATGCTGCTGCTCATGTTCACCCACACCATGGCTCCCAGATCCTGCTTTCATTCTGTCTATGCCAGGTTTAGTACCTCCTGGGCCAGGCATAGTGCTGAGCATCTGTCCTCATGAAGCTTACCTGTCAAGACAGGGTCAGGAACAGGACCCTCAGGGCCGTATATTGAGCACTCTGATCTTGCAGCGCCCTGAGATGAGAACAAGAAAGATCTGGTAGTCCCCCAAGGAGTCTTACGTCCCAATCATCATTCCAACCTCCCTCACCACTCAGTTGCTGCTAGTCTGTGCAGCAAAGTAGAGAGCAATGGACCTCTGGGAGGACAGACTAGCAGAAAATAGCCTCTCTGGCTACTGTAGACTTGCCACTCTACAGCCCGGTGAACAAAGGATGTTCCATGGAAGTTCAAGTGCCTCTGCCTCCCCTGCTGAGTGTCAGCCCCCTTGATCCCTCTGCCAGGCATCTTGATCCCTCTGCCAGGCATCAGCGCACCACTGTGGACCATGTGTAACTGGTCCCACCAAGCTGGCAGAGAGCAATCTACATGTCCTGTGAGGTTGCTGGAGATGGGGGTGGGGGGAGAGACAGCCCACCACCAGCAGGTGCCTTCAGCCTGTGCTGCTGCCTCACAGAGAGCTTCAGCCGTAAAGGACCTGGGTCTTTAGTGTTCTGTTGCTGAAAGAAGCAAGATGCTGTCAGCCACCGTAAAAATGTGACCTTTGAAAATTTACAAGAGCGCGGGTTTAAAAAGCTGCTGTGTTAATGATGCATCCTATTAGCATCTCATTAAAGGGAAGCTGAGCAAAGCCAGCTCAAGCCCAGTGATGGGCAGATAGGGCCACTCTGCAGGACTGGTAGGGGGAGGCTCTTCTGGTGAGCCTCTGCTGCTGAGCACTACCATATCACTGGGGCAGAAGCCATGGCCAAGGACAGGTGGAAGGTCAGGTGGCTTCCCGGGTGTCAACAATATGAGGTGAGGCCCATTCAACCATACCTTCTTCCTAGTGACTGGGGCCAAGTTTTCCTAGTTCATCTTTCTTGTTTTTAATATTTTTTTTTATTTTTATTTTATGTGTATGCATGTATTGCCTGCATGTAGGTAAGTGCCCACGGAGCACAGAAGAGGCTGTTGGATCCCTTGGAACTGGAGTTATGAGCAGTTGTTAGCTGCCATGTGGGTGCTGGGATTCGAACCCGGGTCTTCTGCTAGAACAGCCAGTGTTCTTAACCGCCAAGCTTCTCTCTCCAGCACCCCCCACCCCAGTTCATCTTTCTTATGTTGGTAACCCTCTTTCCTTCCCCAAAGCGACCCCTCGCTTGGTCTGAGGGCAGCCTGGGCTGCTCCTCGGGACTCCAGGCCTGTGGGAATTCTGGACCATGAGAGGGAAGAATTAGCAAGACCCAGTTCAGAAGTAAAGCCATGGGTCTATACAGGGTCCCTGGTGCATCCAGAACCTGACATTTACTTTGGGTCTAAAGCCCTTGGCAAGAGGAAGAGCCCCCAGTCAGGCTACTTGCCTCACATATCACTAACCAGTCCATATAAAGCACACCTGGAAGCTCTAGATCCCTTAGTGAAGGGCATGCTCTTGCATATGAATTGTTTATGGAGAGAGCAGAGAAAGGAATATTCACTTGATTGTTTTATAAAATAAAATTCCTGTCACTGAGTGCAGTGGTACATGCCTTAAATCCCAACACTCAGGAGGCAGAAGCAGGCATATCTCTGTGAGATCAAGTCCAGCCTGGTCTACATAGTGAGTTCTAGGCTAGCTGGGGCTACAGGGAGACCCTTTCTCAAAAAAATTAATTAATTAAAATTCCAAACTGCAAGTTGCTTGTGGCTTTAGATGTTGCTGGCTCAGAGTAGAATGTGAGTTCTAACTTTATTTATCTTTCCTAAAGAGAGGAGGGGTGACTACAGAGCTGCTTTCTTGTATATAAGAAACTGCTTGTAATAGTCATGAAAGATACAACCAAGCAGGAGGCCTGTTGCAGCCGGGTGGGTAATCTCTTCCTCCTGGCACTGGGCCAGCCTGTGGAGCTCACAGCTCCTATCCCAGGTGCAACACCATTCATGCCCTTGTGCACTGGAGTTCTCTGCTCCATTTGAAAGCAAGGCTATGTCTGAGTCACCCATGTCATCACTGTCTCGGCCAGTGCCCAGACAGAACCCAAACCCACTATTATTTGCCAAAGGAACAGACCAAGGTACAAATGAGCAAGTAAGTCGGAGCCACATATGTCAGAAAAGCATGTAATTTTTTAAGTTCAGAAACCCCCCTAATTTTAGGGCAAACATCAGAACTCCTGAAGTTTTACAGCACAGAATCTAATGACCCAAACTCAAGGAAAAGCCCCCAGTCAGATCTTCAGGCAGCAGTGGAGATTTCAGGGTGTTTCCAGACAGCTTCCTGATCAGGTTGCCATGCAAACCCAGCAGGACAGAAATGGTGGCTTTGGGAAGACTCTGAAAACCTGAGCCAAGCTGCCTTCTGCCTGGGAAGCTCTGGGATCTGGGCGGCAGAGAGGGGCTGCAGCACCCTCTTCTGGAAGGAAAGGTTTCCATACTGTCAGTGAAAGAACTTATTAGTAAAGAGTGGGTTCCCAGCATTCAAACTTGCCCTCTAAACAAGGCTCTTAAATGGGACACAGCACAGGTTCCTTTCCCCTCAGAAGCCTCTGATTCCAGATGAAGTAATCTCCATGGCTCTGGAACCTGGAAATACAGAAAGGGCTGAGGATGGCTTCTGCCTCCAGGCTGGGCACATATTGAAAACTGCCTGTTCAGGCTAGAAAAGCCTCACTGATGTTTCCTATGCCTAGTTGTGTTTAAGGCTAAATTCCAGCTCCCCCTTTCATACCACTCTCATCTATCCATCCCACAAGCAGAAGTGGGGTCTCTGATCAGGTCACTTGTCTGTAGAATTGTTCTTTCTTTTCCTCAGGAGACTCTTTTTCTTTGTTCCGTGCTCAGTGCACAGAAATGGAGCGTCTGAAGTGCAGGCCAGAGGTAAAGAGCAGCCTAATGCAATTAGCTTAGCATAGCCTCGGGTCTTAATGCTACATGGCTCCTGCTCTCCCAGCAGGCCCTGCTACATGCGCTGCATATCCACTGTATGATGCTACAAAGCCTCTGGAAGATCTGCTTGGTCTGCTACCCACACCCCCTGTTCTGTGCTTGGGACGCAAGACAATCCCTCTGCTCAGGGGCCTCACAGGGAGCTCTGCCTCCTACCAGCTTCATCATTGGGCTGGGTACCATCAGAGATTGCTACAAGGATTATGGCCTTCACTTGACGATGCCTCTCAGGGCTCCTTTGACCATCTGTGACTGTCCCTGGGGAAGAGCTGCTCCTGACTCTCCCATTCTACCCTAGGCTTGGTTGGGTTCCTAGGAGTTGTGGTCACTGGTCACTCTTCTCAAAGCCACTTCCCCTGAGATCTACACCCCTTCGTATTCCAAGCATACCATTCCAGCCTTTCCAATATGTTTAGGATTTTTTAGTTATTTTTAAAAATATTTTGTTATTTTTATTTTATGTGTATGAGTGTATTGCCTGCGTATATGTAAGTGTACCTATGTCATGCAATGCCCGTGAAGGTCAGAAGAGGGTGTTGGATTCCCTGGAACTGGAGTTGTTAGCCACCATGTGGGTACTGGGAATAGAACCTGGGTCCTCTGCAACAGCAGCCAGTGCTCAATCACTATCTCTCCAGCTCCCTTTTTTTAACTTGTAAATAATGGCCATTGTAAACATTTGGTAAATAATTAGGTATTGTAGTAAACAACTACAATCCTAGAACTTGGAAATGAGAGGCAGGAGGATCATGGGTTCAAGACCAGCCTGGAATACATAGTAAGACCTTGTTTTAAAGAAAAACAGGGGCTAGGAATGTAGGTCAGTAGAGTACTTGCCTAACATGTACAAGGCCCTGAGTTCAATCCCCAGAATCACAGAACCATTTATTTTAATAAATGAATAAAAGTATAGACAAAAAGTTACCCATAATCTTCCCACCCAAGGATAACACCCTGCTGACATTTGGGTCATTCCCCTCCCATACACACTGTTCAACAGCAGGATGTTTACATAGAGAGGCCATCTGGGTGTTATCTCATGGCCTGCTTTTCTCATCAACATCACAGTGGGAACATTTTGCCTTCTCATTATAAATTTCTAGAAAACATAATTCTTAGTAACTATGTAATATTCCATCATGAAGCTGTAGCCCAGGGAGGCCAGTGTTGGCTGATGTTTGCTTTCACTCTGAGGGTCATGTTCTTGTGTATCTACAGCTAAATTAGAAAGTACACTCAGAGCAAGCAAGCCTTCTTATTACTAAGAGGAGTCAAGGGTTCCTCCTACCTGGGGACATGATCTGACCTCTTCTGCCATGGGTCTCAGCTCCTACACCTCCCTCTCTCACCTGGGCCTCAGTGGTTTGCACAGCATGGGGAATGTGCAGCGACCTTCACTTGCTACCTGATGGCAGAGTAAATGTTTTGTTGTCTGATTAGGAATTCTCAGTCAGCAGCCACACATGAAAGCCCTGGGTGCTTGGTAGGCTAAGATGGAGTAGGTACACAGTCAGTGCTCTATACATTCCCTAAGTAGCATTTGTGTGATGGTGCGTTATTGATGTCTGAGGGCTGGGCATCCCCATGTCAGAGTACAGAACACTTTCTTTTACAGTAGTTCACCTGGGTTGGGCTACTGGCAGATGGACCTAGGAAGGTGCTGACTTGGGGTTCCTGAAGGCCAGAAGCTCAGCAGAGGCCACACCCATGGATACTCTTCCCAGAAACCCCATGGTCTTTGGTGAGCTGGGTGCAGGCTGTCTATCTTCCTCTGGCCCCAAGCCCAGTGAATAAAGCTCAGGTCCCAGAGGTACTGTTGAGAGTCCCAAAGTGTCACAGCAGTCTGTGCTCACCATCCTAATCTGCTTCCTGCAGGCTCCTGGCATCTCCAAAGCAGACAGTCAGCCCCAGGGACTCACGACCAGCATCAGATGGGGACAGACGCCCATCAATCAGTCTACACCCTGGGACACTGATGAGCCACCCTCCAAACAGATGAGGGAGAGCGACAATCCAGGTACGTGTTCATCAACCAGGAGAGACACTTACCAGCTTGGTGCCCTGCTTCTTCTCCAGCAGGTCCTGACCCTAGGGGTCTATAAAAGTCCAGACATCAGGCCTGGGATGTATAGGGCCCCAAACTTCTCACAAATTGTACCTCTGGGGAGGTTTTGCCTTTTTGCCCATGGTTATATGAGTACCAGGATGCTCTACTCCCAATTCCCGCTCCTACAGCATCTCAGTCTTCCTCTTTATAGAGCTGATAAAACAAAAGTCCTCCCTTTACCTCCCAGAGCTCCTCCTACCACTTGGATACAAGTACCTGGAAATCCTGCCTCTCTCCTGCCCACTCCAGGTCTTCTACAGGATAAACACCCCAACCCATGGATTCCAGGCCCTTCACTTTCTGGCCAGTTGCTCACTGTTTCACTCTTAAAGTACAAAGCCAGAACCCAATGCTAACAGCCTATATACTGCCTGACCAGTACCCTCTTCCTTCAGTGCTTCCACATGGGTTATTACAGCTTTAGATTATATCTGCTCAGTCCAAAGACCTATCACACACCATCCTAGCAGCAAAACCCCAAGACTGGCCAGGCATGGTGGCATATGCCTTTAATCCCAGCACTCAGGAGGCCGAGGCAGGTGGAGCTCTGTGAGACCGAGGCCAGCCTAGTATAGTGAGTTCCAGGTCAATGGGGGCTACAAGGAGTCGCTGTCTCCAAGTAACAACAATAAAAACAAACTCAAGATTGTCATGAGGCCACTCCTGTCCACCTTCTCACAACTGGACTCAGCTTGGTTTGGGAACACAAGAACAGACCCCTCCAATCCCTCCCCCATACGGCTCTTATGATCTCAGATGCCAATTTCCACTGTGCCCTCCTCCCAGTTCTCCCAGAATTGTGTTCTTTGCAACTCGAACTGGTAGTTTCCAAGTCATTGATTAAAAACCATGATCAAGGTTTGCTGTAAGTGACTAGAGATCTCCCTTTAGACCTCCGGCCCCTTTCAGACATTCACCCCATCCAAAATGAACCATCTGCATGACACTGCATCTCTGCTGTCACTGCAGAGCTGTCTGGGGCCTCATCAGCCAGCCTCTGACATTCTGATGCATTTTTTCAGGTTCCCTAGCTTATCCTGGGGAGGAGTGAGCTTGGAATAACAGGCCTTGGTCTTGGGACACCCAGACAGACTGGCTCATGGTGATATCACTGCCTCTGTTTAGCTTGGAGATGGGCCCCCTCGGCAGCCAATCCTAGAATCTAGCCAGCACTATTTGGCCAATGTTTCTTGGCTTGCAGTTTCCCTCTCTCACTACCAAAGTCATAAATACTTCTTGCCCATTCATTTCTGTGCCTTGTTCTGTGTATAATCTTGCAACAGTCCTAGATGTTGGTATTATTGAGCCTACTACAGATGAGAAAACTGACTCAGGAAAGGCATGTGTCCACATCACTCAAATAGAAAAGGGCAGAAGCAGGACTCAGAGCTAGCTTTTCCCAACTCCTCAGCCTCCCTCAGCACCACTGCATTGACCGAGCCCCTGGTAGTTTGAGAGTCAGCGCTCCATCTGGGCTCCTGTCCTTCTTCATCATCTTATTTCTGAGAGGGAGCTCCCAGCCCTTCCTTCTAGCCTTCAGAGCCCTCAGTCTCCCTATCCTACATCTGCACCCTAACCCCAGAGGAATCATGAAAACCAAACTTGCATTTGGGCAATGGAGCCCCAGACCAGAACTCATTAAATCAGAGATGACCCAGACTAGACTTCCCTGACACTGTGTTGTCCAGCTTCCTCACAAGCCCTCTGGGTCACCTCAGTGTCAGTTGAGCTCAAGGCGGACCCAGGCCTTGTTCTGCCTCATTTGGGCACAGCTGGCCTTTTGTTTTGTATCACATCTCAAAAGGTATGTCTGGACCACCTTGTTCTCCCCAAATTGCCTTAAGAGCCACGCTGAGCGCCTCCTGTTTCCAACAGGGCTAGCTGTGTGGAGGGTGCCTGAGACAAAGACAAAGCTCCTTCAGCCTTTCCAGGCCGCATCCTACCTCTTCCCAGGTGCCTGGGAGCACCTTGCCAGCCTTCAAGTCCTGTTGCACTCACCTGAAAGCCCAGCAAACGCCAAGTCCACCACCAGCCTCCTCCTTGCCTCTCACCCACAGCAATTCTCCAGCCATGGAGATGCTGCAACAGATATGCTGCACTTACCACACACCTGATACTCTGCTAGTTGTACTTTTTCTTTCAAATGCATTTTCTGCATTCATTTCTTCCCAGTAGTGCCAGGAAGTAGTTATCTGTTGGTCCAAATTAACAGATGAAAAGAATAAGGCTCAGAGAACAAAAGCGACTTGCTGGGGCTCTTAGCTCCTAAGTATAAGTTGAACTGAACTTTGAACCCAGGTCTCTTTGAAGACCTCTGCTTTTTTCCTCTGTTTTGTTGCCTCTCACTTCTTCCAAGCAGATCTTACCCCCTTCTTCAAGCCCCCACAACCATTTATTGATATCCCCTAAAGTGCCTAGCTGGAGATTCATCACACATTCTTACACTGCAAGTGCCTGGGCACAGGTATCTTATCCACTGCTATGACTCCAGTCCTCAGCCCAGGGTCTGGGGCAGTTGGTGCTCATTGAATGAATGTGTAACTGGCAAATAACATCTCTTCCATCTCCCTTGCAGGCACAGGGCCATGGGTGACCACGGTGGCCGCCGGGAACCAGCCTGCCCTGATCGCACACTCCTATGGAGTGGCCCAGCCTCCCTCCTTCAGCCCTGCTGTGAACGTCCAGGCCCCGGTCATCGGGGTGACTCCCTCACTGCCTCCTCATGTGGGGCCCCAGCTCCCACTGATGCCAGGCCACTACTCACTCCCACAACCGCCCTCCCAACCACTGAGCAGTGTGGTGGTGAACATGCCTACCCAGGCTCTGTATGCCAACCCTCAGCCCCTGGCTGTGTCCACTTTGCCTGGCGTGGGGCAGGTAACTCGCCCGGGACCTACCGCTGTGGGCAACGGCCACATGGCAGGGCCCCTGCTGCCTCCACCTCCTTCAGCCCAGCCGTCTGCCGCTCTCCCCAGCAGTGCTCCTGCCACCAACGGGCCCCCCACAACAGACTCAGCCCACGGGCTGCAAATGCTGCGGACCATTGGAGTGGGGAAGTATGAGTTCACCGACCCAGGGCACCCCAAAGGTAAGTCCTACTGCCACCTGCCCCTATGTGTGCTTGGTGTCTGCCTCCCTTTCTGCTCACTCCAACACAGTGAGGACAGGAGTGTGCTTTACAGTGACTCTTTCACTGGCCTCATTCAACCAAGAGCTGCAGCAGGAACTCGCTGTTCAGTCTGGGGAGACCAGGCAGAAAGCCAGTGTGGAGGGTGGGAGAAGAAACAAATGGCAGGGTTCACAGAGACGAGAAGAAAAAGATGGGAGGAAGAAGGAAGAGAGAGACCCAGACCAACCTCACCTCTGACTCCCAGGCCAGGCCAAGCCCATACTGAGCAAGAACTATCCATTCCTCTTAGGGGTCCCTAGAACAGTCCTATGGAGGCCTTCACCACTGCCCACCCATGAAGACATTCAAAACACGAGCCTCCTCCACCAAGCTATTGGACAGGAGCAGGACCAGCATGCAACCACATTCCAGACCATCCTGAGCCACTTGAGTTTTTGCATTTAAGGACTGAAGAGGGCTCTGTGATTCCCTGGAGAAGAACATCTCCAAGCTGGCCTTCAGTGGACCCCTTCCTCCCAGCCCCAGGGGAGTTTCCCTACAGATAGCGCCTAGGTAGTTCCTTGAGAACAGAACCTGGGGAAGGGAACACACAACAATATACGTCTTGGCACAAGCCCCAGCCTCAGCCTCAGCCTCAGGACATAAAACATTAGAGGTAGGCTTTGCTTATAGTGTCTGAGATGGGCAGGAAGGCCAGGGCCAGAATGAGGCCTTGAGAAACCTCTGGTCTAGGTTTGCCTCTCTCTAATGTCCCAGACAGGCTGGGTCCTGCCCTTGCTAAGTACCAAGAGGAAATTGTCAGGCCTCAGCCAGGGGTAGGTAGCTCTAGGGACAGGAACAAGCAGGAGGGCTTCTTTTGGGCATTCTGGCCTGCTGGGGCACCCATGCCATCCTTCAGTAGATGATACAGTATATGCATCTGGGCACTAGGCATGGCTTTCCAACCACCTACTCAGAACCCCTCAAGAACTTCTCTCAGGGTCCTGCCTCTTAGGAAAGCAGTGCTGCGATTAACCACTCTCTTCCCACTGTTCTCCAAACACCTGTCCTGGCCCTTCTGAATTACCTGAGCACCCAACCACAAAGCCCGTGCCTAGGTTCCTGCTGGGCTTCATTCCCAACCTGTGTGAGCCCCGACTGCCTTTGTTTAGGAAATCAGTACTAGTTTTAAATGACAAAATTATAGAAAATTACATCTAAGTTCTGGTAAACTCTTGCTTTGTTTAAAATCTGTTTAAAAAATATAGAGAGACTAAATTGATTTCTTATTTGAACTGTTTTGGTTTAGCAAGTTCTTGCCTTAAAAAAGAGACCTCCCCAAAAGAACAAAAC